TATATATATATATACATACAAGGTAAATATAAAATATTGGGAATTAGAAAACCTGCAAATAGGGATTTGTAGTTTGAGTAAATAATGTCTCGAGTACCTCCTGCATTGTTTCCTTACTTTTCTTTACGATCCCTACTTACAGGTTTTTAAATTCTCAAATGTTTATTTAGATTGTTTGTTGGTTTTTTTATGCTTAACTATGGGCAAAAGATTATTTGATATTGTAGCTAACTTTATACATTGTAATGATAATAAACGTAGCTAGTAGCTAGCTGATACGGTTCATGATGATTTACTGTAGCTATTGACTATTTGATCGCATTAGTTCGAGTTGAAAACTGTTAAGTTGCTGCTGGAGATTGTCATGGAGATTTGTTTGAGAATATAATGAGCATTTATAGTTTTTATGTAACTAAATTCTCTCTATATAATACATAGCAATTGGCAAATATATGACTAGACTAAGACACAACCCTCACTAAGCAGGTAGAAAATCAGCCTTTTGAAATAAAACATATACGTCCAAAACAATGCTTTGAATAAACTTTCGTGTCTTTTAAATAATTATTCTACGAATGTCTTTGGCCCGGCATGGCCAGGTGGTTAGGGCGCTCGACTCGCGATCTGAGGGTCGCGGGTTCGAATCCCCGTCACACCATACATGCTCGCCCTTTCAGCCGTGGGGGCGTTATAACGTGACGGTCAATCCCACTATTCGTTGGTAAAAGAGTAGCCCAAGAGTTGGCGGTGGGTGGTGATGACTAGCTGCCTTCCCTCTAGTCTTACACTGCTAAATTAGGGATGGCTAGCGCAGATAGCCTTCGTGTAGCTTTGCGCGAAATTCAAAAACAGACAAACAAACGAATGTCTTTAACAAAATTTAATATTATATGTACTGGTTTTTAATCCTTCACTTCGTACATAATATAGGGGTTGTCTCCCTAAAGACACCAATTGTATAGTGTACAAAGCATTAAGTATGTACATGTTGGTAATTCCTGTTTCACCCTGTACTTAAGCTTTTGAAAAGAACACCAGGTATTTGTAAGAAAGCTAACTTCAAGGGATAATGATAACATCGTTTACACTAGAATTATAAAGTTTTTTAACTTATGTAACATAGAGAAGAAAGAAATCGACTTTCAACACTCCCACGACCTTCACATTACCTTATTTAGTATTCTACAAAATATTTGAGTGCAATATACCAAGCCGTTTTTGTTGTAGGCTGGTAAGAGAATAATAATAAAAGAAGCAGCAGAAGAAGAAGAATTAGAAATTCCTTTTTTTATGTATTGTTATATGTGTACAGCCTTATCAGTCAATAGTAAGGGTTTTAAAGTGTTGTTTCAACTGATTCTTTACTGTTTATGTTGCTTTTTGTCCGAACGTTCTATTAGGGTTTTATGCAATTCCTTGCGATCCCCTATTATGAACCACTCCTGTGGTTCGTGATACACACAAGTATTTATAACACACACGCACACACACACACACACACACATATATATATATATATATAATAAATACACACAACTGTTTGTACTACACCCACATATATATATTTATACACGCACAGCTATTTGTACTACACCTATATGTATATATACAAACAAAAACTATTTGTACTACAACCATATATATATATATACACACACACAAGTATTTGTACTATATTATTCCAGCCCAAGCTCTAAAATGGTAAACTACAGGAGAAGGTGGGATACAGTTTTTTTCTTACCTTAGGGAAGTTCACTATGACAGAGTTTGAGAGCTACTGATAAAGATGATGACCATAGAACTACTGATCTAGATGATGACTATAGAACTACTGATCCAGATGATGACCATAGAACTACTGATAAAGATGATGACCATAGAACTACTGATCTAGATGATGACCATAGAACTACTGATAAAGATGATGACCATAGAACTACTGATCTAGATGATGACCATAGAACTACTGATAAAGATGATGACCATAGAACTACTGATAAAGATGATGACTATAGAACTACTGATCTAGATGATGACCATAGAACTACTGATAAAGATGATGACCATAGAACTACTGATAAAGATGATGACTATAGAACTACTGATCTAGATGGTGACCATAGAACTACTGATAAAGATGATGACCATGGAACTACTGATAAAGATGATGACCATAGAACTACTGATAAAGATGATGACCATACAACTACTGATCCAGATGATGACCATGGAACTACTGATCCAGATGATGACCATAGAACTACTGATCTAGATGATGACCATAGAACTACTGATAAAGATGATGACCATAGAACTACTGATCTAGAAGATGACCATAGAACTACTGATCCAGATGATGACCATAGAACTACTGTTAAAGATGATGACCAAAGAACTACTGATCTAGATGATGACCATAGAACTACTGATAAAGATGACCATAGAACTACTGATAAAGATGATGACCATAGAACTACTGATCTAGATGATGACCATAGAACTACTGTTAAAGATGATGACCATAGAACTACTGATAAAGATGATGACCATAGAACTTCTGATCTAGATGATCATAGAACTACTGATCTAGATGATGACCATAGAACTACTTGTAAAGATGATGACCATAGAACTACTGATCTAGATGATGACCATAGAACTACTTATAAAGATGATGACCATAGAACTACTGATCTAGATGATGACCATATAACTAATGATCTAGATGATGACCATAGAACTACTGATAAAGATGATGACCATAGAACTACTGATCCAGATGATGACCATAGAACTAATGATCTAGATGATGACCATAGAACTACTGATAAAGATGATGACCATAGAACTACTGATCCAGATGATGACCATATAACTAATGATCTAGATGATGACCATAGAACTACTGATAAAGATGATGACCATAGAACTACTGATCCAGAT